ATGATGACGATGACGATGACGATGATGATGATGACGAGGAGGAGGAGGAGGAGGAGGAGGAGGAGGAGGAGGCAATGATGATTGTAACAAAAACGATGAAAATGACTAGAGATTACAACTTTGAGTGCAAGAGATGAATTTATTTGAGAGGAGAGGAGAGAGAAGGTCGGTAGAAAAGCAGCATCCTGAAGAGGAGTTAGCAGCGCAGTCACTAAAGAACAAGATTCTCACTAGCCTCCCTATCCCTCCCTCCACTCTCCGGCTCCTCACAACAGAACCTGCAGGCAGCGATGGAGAGAGATCGAGTGGGACCTCCAACCTATCAGCCTTGTCGACAAGCAGAGTCTCCTGCAGAGGAGCAGGAGGATCTTGCCGGCAAGCCCTGTCCTGATTCCCCTCCCCTCCTGACTTGAAGATCAGACCACCACGGAAGGAGAACTCTTCATGTGGAGAGGACGGACTGTCTGCCTACAGCGAACATGCCTCGGGCCGCGGGAGGAGCAGCATTGCCGGCTGGTGGACATCTTCAGCGGGGAAGTGATCTGGTCCACTATGGGCCCAACACAGAAGGTGAGAGGGAGGAAGAGACGTTGGGTCCTCCCATGCCATGGCAGGGATGGATGGACAATGCTGAAGATCGTGACGAGTGTGGGTTCCGGGTGCTCCCATGGGAGGCAGCGTTGGCTTCGGTGAGGAGGAGGAGGAGGAGCGAAGAGGGGGGGGGGCAGGGAGGGAGGGAGGGAGGGAGGGAGGGAGGAGGAGGAAATTGCGGTAAGTATGGACTGCGTGACATGATTGGCAGAGGAAGGATGCAGGAGACGCTGAGTTGAAGCAAGGAGATGGTGGGAAAAAGAAGAAGAAGAAGAAAGTGAAGGGCATCGGCGAGAAAATTGACAGCAGGTATGATGATGATGATGATGATGATGATTGAGTGATGATGATGATGATGATGATCATGATGAATATCAACCAAAACAACAATTCTCGCTGAAATAGATCATCAGGCATCGCAAGGACAAGATTGAGCTGTTGGCTGTGCGACTTTCTCCTCCTCAGGTGCTCGTGCTGATCGCTCTCCTCAGAGAAAGAGGACCAAGATCCTCGACCTTGATCGAACTGCCGCTGCCTCTGCTCAGGCTGTGAGTCTGATGTTGCATGACTGCATTTGACCTGACCGTCCACCAACCAGAAGACGAGAAGAAGACGCAAGAGAACAGGTCACTTCCTCCTCCTCCTCC